AGTCAGCGCTGGCGGATCGGAGCGGGGAGGGGGGAATCCATCCCCTCCCATGTCACGGCAGAGAGCCGTGACAGGATCGAGAGGTGAGCGAACGCCGGTATGTGTTCGCTCACCTCCCGATCTACTGAGCCGAGCTGTGACAGTCTCATTGTCACAGGTCGGCTAGAACTATGAGGTGAGTGAAAAGCACTCACCTCATAGTTCTCCTTTAAGGGAGACAGTTGTCAATTTGTGGCGAAAGATATCAGGTTTTAGTGGACGTAACATTTAATGCTTCTTACTTTCCAACAAAGACTCATTCCAAGACACTTCAAGACGAGGCAAAAATAAATCTATTTTAGATCAATTAGTAATATAAAAGTGAACTGATGTAATATGAGCAATAATCTACTAATACAAGGAAGCCTTTGTTATGCCAGCTTGGAAAAACAGGAAAGTGCAGTCACATTTGTTGAAATGTAATAAATGCAGAGCTCACCCCCATTTTAATGAGCACAAGGTATAAACAGGTATTACTAGGTAACACCCAGCCCAAGCTATTATAAGGATGACTTCTAAAATGTCACACATGAGTTCAATGCAACCAAGTCTGGAAATAGGATTAATTTCCTTATTTACATAATGCAATCATATACAGCAGCGTCACAGTAGTATACAACTACTCAGTCATTCCCCTGAATCTGTTTACATGCAAACTATTCATATACATTCATATTGTGCGCATACAATCACACCGATAAAACAAATCTGGTGAGAAGCCAATTATCCTTCCATCCTTGGACTGGGGAAATGTTTAATTAGACCATATATACACATTGTTAAAGTATCCTGTAACCATACACCACACAACAAATGCATGGTGGGTGCCCTTGAGTCACCATGTTCACAGGGCTGCATTGATCTACATAGATTAACACAGGTTAACCATTGTTTTCTACATGCCCTGTCCACACCATACAGGTGCAGTGGTGTGTTTTGCATAAACATGCAGCATGTCTGCATTTTTATGCAGGGAAACTCACTGAGGTGCATAGAGCTGAATGAAATGTAATTTTGTGACATTTTAATGAAGTTAAAAAAAAAACCATTGTGATGCATTATAACAATAATGCACCGCACTGCCCCTACACAATGCAGACCAGCGAGTGCAGGCTATACGGCACACAACGTGTCACAGCTGGTGTCATTGAGCCCTTAAAATCCAGCAAGCCTTACAAAATGTCTCTTAAAGGGAACCTTTTTTGACCAGTGCAGCCATACAGCTGACATCCCCTCCCTTTTAGACTGTAAGCCCTCATGGGTAGGGCCCTCCTTACCATCTTGTCTTGATTTGTATTGTGACTGTAATGTCTTCCTTATATTGTAAAGCGCTGCGCAAACTGTTGGCGCTATATAAATCCTGTATAATAATAATCCCGAAAAATTGGGAACAGGGGGGGGTCTCACTTTATTCTATGAGCAAAATCAAAAAATTACAATTTATAATGAAGTTTGTCACTAGAATAGAAAACAAAACAGCTTGTACCAGCCAAGGGATACTGTTGTCCAATAGGAATTATAATGGGGCTTTATCTTACTATTGTTCAATGCATGGTAAAACAACTGAAACGAACCCAGAGGGAACCTAAAAGCTAGAGGAAACGTTTAATGAAGTGTATAGCAGCAAGTTTGTATCAAGATCCAATGGCTAATTTGTAACTAAGATATGCACTGAACTACGTATGTACTTATCACGCCGACCAAAATCCTTAGTGGGGTGACATGTTTATAAATAACAGAGCTCCATGAATAAGTGAGAAAAACCCAGATAACTGTAAATTATCCACATTACTGTAAAAAGCCATTTGCCTTAACCTAATACATAGGTCACCATGTATATTGTGCACTTCTGCTTAGAATCAGGTACATTCCTAAAGCATTAGATAAAGTTTAAAAAAAAAGTGTGTGGAAATGTTTTTGTGTAGTGTAGGCCGTTATCCATCAACATACATTTCACAAGCCACTTTGCCTATAGGCACTCACCTCTCAGCTCCATTTATCAGTGCTTGGAACATAAGGATGTTTGATCTTTGGCTGTCCAATACTTAGGCTCAAAGTACCTCAGGTTAGGTCTCATGCACATGGGAATTATAATACAAGCATCCAGGTGCATTTCGAGATAATAATTTCTAAACACAATATAAGCATGCAATGTTTTTCTATGGCTGAATACACACTAAATAATCAGCAGTGTCTAGGTGCATTCAGTCTAACTGTATTTACACAAACATATTAAATACATATAAAATATACTGCATTAATTCCCCCTATGTCTCTACGTTTATGATACACTTTAGGCGTGATTATGGGACTCTATATATAGCGACATTCTCAGGATATCAGTGAGCTGGTATAGGCCAATCTACCCTACTATTGATGTCAGCTTTATTAGGGCTTCCGCTGTGGAGGCGACATTGCTGGAAGGCATATAACAACAATGCTACGGCCCGCCCACTCTCTGATTAGACAGAATAGAAGGTGTGGGTTGTACCCCGAATATACCATTGTCATATAACACGCTGTGTATCACGTATTCTTATGCAAATTCATGATGTTACAGGCTAATTGTCCGCCTTGGATGCTAAGCTCTGTGTATGTATATATGTCTGTTTGTAAAAAACTTCAACAAACGCTTATTGGATTAAAATATACTGCATCAGGTGTGTATAAATAAAAAACAAAGCCAAAAAACTGTCCAAGGACTAAAGCGGGGACCCAATCTACCTGCCCTCATGACAATCTACTTGATCATTTCAGCCAAAACCGTATATTTAACCGTGCTAATTTGTCAGCGCAGTCAGATGCCCGTTCGTATGCAGATGGAAAGGCAACATGGTTGCTTTTTATTTTTTTTCCATTATTATTATTTTTTTTTTTTTACACTTAACTTTATGCACCTGTGTTTAATGCAGGAGGCCTGTAAGCATGGGGCCTAAGAAAACTACATTTTACTCTCAACAGCAGCTCAATAGCTTCTAAACGCCATTTACAGTGGAGATTTCAAACTCAATTTGTTGGTGTGAACAGTGATAATGCTTTGCAAACATAAGGCCCAATGTATGCAGTATATTTGCAGTATATTTATTTTACAAGCCTTTATTGTACAAAATGGAAAAGTAAGTCATATACAGTACACAAATAATCCATTTGCCCAATTGTACTAACAATGATGTCTCCATGATATACTAATAGTTTGTCTACTGGCTAGAAACACAGAAGTGACCAATTTCTCCATGTTTTATAAGGTTATGGACTTTCTTATTAAGGAAGGCTTCCTAAGGATTTCATACCAGGTGGAACAGAATGCATGAGGTTACAGACTAATTTCTGAACCATGGGACATTCCCACCAGATGTGAAACATGGAACCTCTAGAGAGGCCACTCTGGGAGTAAAGTAGAGATGCATCTGGCGTGAAGTTTGCAAATCCTGTCAGGGGTAAGGTACCACTTTATAAGGATTTGGTAAGATTTTTCCAATACCATGACATTTGGATGAGCTTTAAGCGATCCTCAACCATTCTAGGTCCCAATCTCACCTTTTCCAACGTGCCTTCAATCCTTCTCCCATTTAAGCATGTACAAGCTGTGGCATTGTGAGGCAATACCACGGTGTTAGGTGGCCTCAAAGTCACCCAGGGTTCTCAGCCAGAGGGGCTGAGTGGTTCCAGGAAGACATTACTGGTACCAGGAGAGAACTGCCTTTTCAGTTCTTTCTGGGTTTTCTGGATCATAGTTGGGATCCTGGAGCCAGGAGATTTCTTAGAGCTCTGGGTGGGAAGAAGTCTCCATTCCTGGGTCCATGCTTTGGTGGTGACCAGCACCTGATTGTGCACCTGTGTACATCCCTCATGAAGTGT